TTTCAGAAAAGGTCACTGAACAAGGTTATCTCTTGGAGATTCCTTGTACCTTTAGACCTGTGACTCTCAAGAACAGGAGTTACACACTCCTGTTTGAACCAGGCATCGTTGTAAACTCAGCCAGATGGCCACCGGTGGTAAACTGCAGGGAGCAAGCCCTGACAAAAAAGGACAGTTGCCATATAACTCCAGATGGTTGACTCTTGCCAGGCAGGCCCAGGGTTACTATATATTATAATGTTCAAGAAAAGCGGAAATCCATATTTTTATATGAAACTTTATGATTTTAAAATGTTACCTCTAATACTCTGGTTTCTCTTCAGATTGTATAAATCTTTCGCTTTTCAAAATGTTACCTCTAGGCTGGTCCGATGGTAGTGGGTTATCAGAACTTATTAACATTAGTGTCACTGAAGTTGGTATTCAACCCCCCATTGCTAAATTTGACTGGCTTAAAGAAAAAAAAAAAATGTTACCTCTAACTAAAAAAAGAAAAGGCAGTGTGACCATGGCTTTGAGGGAATGGGATGAGTAGGGGAAATCATAACAGTAAAAACTGAGGTTGAATTAAAATAAAATGAAATTTTCTGAAACAATCTGTTCCCCTTCCACTGATCCCAAATGTTATGTGATGTGACTATAAAATAGGGTCCAGAGGGAAGCTACAGCCTTGGGGCCATAAGTTTCTGACCTCAAAAAGCCAAAAGCTTTGCATACTAATCTATTCTCATGCTTCCAGTATTTTTTGCTGCCTAAATCAGAGAGTAAAGGACAATATAAGAATCAAATAAAAACAAACTGCTGCCAAATAGGGCTAGCACTCTGTTTATTTCCACCATTCAATATTACAATTACAAAGGTAGCCTATACCTATACTATACTACTACTACTATTTAAAAAAATGCTACCATTTTTACAATGCTTCAAGACTTGAAAAACAGAGTGGCTAAATCAGAGATACAGCAAAATACAATTTTTTAAGGACAGCAGCAGGAAAGCAGGCATTTTGCTCACCAGATCCACTTTGGCATATTCTTCCACAATTTTCATGTGTTCTTCTGGATTGTAGCCATTCCACCGATCCCTCTTCCCATCATAGTCAAACATCAGTTGAGGTTGGACATGTTCATCTGGAGCTATATTAGTACCTGTAAATTTGGCTCCAACTCGCCTAGGTCTCTGGAAAATACAGTAAGATTTAATCTTTTCCTAAGTACATATAACCCAGTGGAAAATTTCATATAACCTTTAAAGAGTGGGCACAAACATATCACGAGACTTTATAATTTATTCCATTATCAGTTAGTCTTACAGCAGAAAGTTTTGTTAATGCTGGACCAATTCGACTCGAATTAATTTTTATTTAACTTGTACCTAAATATAGGCAATTTTAGAAATAGAGAAGTAAGCTCTCTGACAACGAAAAAAGAGAGACTCTGACAATGGTTTTCAAAATTCTCAATGGTGAACTTACCTCAAAGCAGTCTTTCTTTTTGTGTGTCATGGCCCCACAATTTTCACATGCTCCTTTGCGGTACTTTGTAATTATGGAATTCTATAAATGTGTAAAAAAAAAAACACCAAAGAAAATGTCTTATCTGAATAAGTTGGAAATAACTTTGGCTCTCATAACTATTTTGTCTAGTGAAATATTTCTTTGTTTGTGAAAAGGAAAACCAGTTACAATCATCACACCATTTATAAATGATGAAGATTAAGGACGTTAGCAATATAAAATTTATATAAGAAAATATAGAAACTAAAGTTGTATGCATTGTGAATTTCAAGACCGGATAAAGGGTTATATATTCTGTTTCTACTTTATATAGTATTGCATTAAAGGTTCTTACATTAAGTTCTTAAAATCTCCATACTCATGAGGATATATACAGGTTGCTTATATACCTCTTTTACACCCCTCTTGTACCATTCTCCTGATGAGCTGTACTGCTTTTGTTTCTCTGGTTGTGGTCTCTGGTGCTTTAAAGTAGGTCTTTTTGATGGATCAATATACCATGGCACTGAAGAAATATACTGAGGAATATGAGGGTTGATGTCTCTGTAATAAAGTTAAAAAAAAATTTAAGAATAAAGTTTGAATGGAATCAATATTATAATTACAAAACCTATACAGAATCTAAGCATAGAATAGTACAGTGGGAGGGGAGACAGAATATGGTTGCTATTTCTATAAAAAAGGACAATTAAAAACAAAGAAGTAATTTATTAATATATTATAGTAAAAAAATTTCCAACCAAGAAACTAAAATCAGTGATATAATGAAGGGGGACAAGAGAAGAAGGAAGATAGACATATGTGTTGGTGATCTAAATCTTCCATCAGAGCAAGAAGTCTTGTATCAGATAATGTCTAGAGTTAACTGATTAAAATAATTGTGTAGGTATTATTATTTAGAGATGTGAAAGTAACAACCAGAAAAACTCAAAATAGATTTAAAAGTAGTCACTTCAGTGGAGCAGACCAGGAGTGGGAAGGGTGGAAAAGGACTGCTACTGTTTGTTATAAGCCCTTCAATGTTATTTGATTACTAAATCATTACTGTCTGTGAGTTCGATAAAATAAATAATAAAAACAAAAATGATGTAAATGACAAAGATAGCTTCCTTTCAAAGAATGAGAAATTGATAAACCAAATAGACAAGAATTTGAATTCTGAATGAACAGATCAGGTAAAAAATTACTTACTTTCCTTCTTCATCAACTTCTGCAGGAGCATTGCCCAATTTTCGCTGTTCTTCTAGCTCCTTCTTCTTTCTCCAGTCCTCTCTGGTCATTTTCTTTGGTTCCTCCAAACTCATTTCTTTAGACCCCGATGGGGGGGCAGCATTAACTGCATCTACAACTGCAGCTGACATGGTTACTGGCTTCCCATAAGAAAAGAAAGAAAGAAGTCAAATTTACAGTAGAAAGGAGACTTTCTCATTATTTAATGTTCGATTCTTTAAGACTCAATCAGTACTGCTTTCATCACTTTAAACTTGACTGGTGGACAAGCTCATTTATTTCCAAGGCTTCAACAGCCATGATATACCACTGTTGGCTCTCTATTTTTCTACTCCGGACTTTTCATTGAGCTTCAGATACATATATCTGATTGCTGACTTGACATCTCCTCCTAGACGTCTCAGAGACATCTAAACTCAACACATCTTAATTCAACCTCATGATCTTCCTTCTGAAATATCATTTCCTTCCACTGTTCCCTATCTCAATGAGAGATAATACCATCCATCTCTTTACATAAGTAATTCAGCTTATTCTCATTTTTATTTCTACACTAAGAACTGTTATTTTCACCTTCTGAATATCATACAAATTCATCTGCTTCTTTCCATTCTCAATGCTACTACCTTAGTGCAAGTTATTACTTTTTCCTACTTACTGGTCTCCTGTGATTCCCTCCAACCAATTATCCATACTGCAGTGTTAATTTTTCAAAACACAAATTTGATCATGTTATGTCCCACTGCTCAAGCTTAAAACCCTCCAAAGCAGCACCACTCAAGAGAAATACAATGTTAGCCCCATACGTAATTTTATGTTTTCCAGTAATAATATTTAAAAT